AAGTGCATCTTGTTAGCACTGCTTGGGCAGAGTCAGTGCCCTGCGCAGCTTCAGTCACCTTCGTGTCTGTCACAGGACCTCGTGCCTGCTGCTTTTGTGCATGTCTCTGCTGGAGGGTCCGAAGGGCCCATCCAGCCTTCGTCAGCCTCCGCTTGAGGGTCCGAGGGGCCCGTCCAGCATGCAGCGCCACCACCTGCGGCCCTCATGCTGTTGCCTGCAGCGCCACCACCTGCAGCTCCCACGCTAGCTCCCATGCTGTCGCCTGCAGCGCCACCACCTGCGGCTTTTCGCACGGTCGGCCTCCTGAATTTAACTGTTTGGGATTCCTGCGCTGTTGGCCTCTGGGTCAGCCCCCTGAACTGTTTGTTGGCTCGGTTTTCTTGTGTTCCTGCGTTTTTGATTTTGTGGTCTGTTTTGGTTTGTTTCTGGACTTCTCCCAGTATAGGTTCCTTAGCTTCTGTTTCTTGCCTGCTACGTTTTTGTTTGTTTTACTTACCGGTTTAATAAAGTTCACCTGTATCTGACACTTCCTGCATCTTGGGTCCTACTTTCAACCTCCACTCGTCTGCCACTGCAGACATGACAGGCAATATGTGCCCACAGAACATAATCCAGCAGATCATGCGTCAAGATCAATCCAAACCTCTCAGCTTACTAATACGAACCAGCTGTCTGGACCAGCAATCTTGTATGAACAATACAAAAGCAAGACATCTTCAGTGTTGTTGAACCAGACTCGGATAAAGCGATCCGGCCACGAGTCACTTGCTGTGCCAGTAAGAAAGAGGAAAAGAAACTCGCTCCAGAAAGGTTTGAGAAATTTTTTTCATGGAACTCTTTGCAATGAGCAGTTGCCACACTTATTCATATTGCTCAGTCCATGACCCAAATTGCTAAGGAATGCAAAGGATGGCATCAGTTTTCAAAGCCACAGTTGTCCAAGGCAAGGAGTGTTATTATTCGCTCTGTGCAGACGGCTAGTTTCTCTGAGGGTGCGATTCGAGTGGCTGGAATATGGCTGATAGGTGGCAAAAGATGCATAGGCAGTGTTATTCATGGATGTGTCATTTGTCGGAAGGTGCAAGGCAGAACTGAGAGCTAGAAGATGTCGCAATTGCCAGAGGAACAACTTAGTAGTTCTTCCCCCTTTACTTACAGAGGCCTGGATGTCTTTGGGCCTTGGAATGTAGTTGGAAGGCGCACAAAAGGAGGACTAGCCTACAATAAGCGCTGGGCAGTGCTGTTTACTTGTCTAAGTACTCGTGCTGTTCACATAGAAGTGATTGAGTCCATGGATGTTTTCATTAACTGTCTATTCTTCTTCTTTGCTATCTGGAGCCGGTGAATACAACTGCACTCTGGTGGCGCATGGGAATGCACAATTGGAGTTGCAAGGAGGATCCTGGACTCTATGCTAATGCGCACAGATTGTTCCCATCTCACACACGAAGTACTGCGCACTTTAATGGCAGAAGTAACAACTATTATTAACTCCAGGCCTGTAGTTCCTGTCTCTTCAGATGCAGACTCACTTGAAATACTAGCCCGGCTATGCTCCTTACACAAAAGGCAAGCGCACCACCTCCAACGGGGAAGTTTACAGAGAAGGATCTCTAAAAGCAGCAATGGCAGCAAGTCCAGCACCTAGCAGACCACTTCTGGAGACACTGGAAAACAGAGTATCTACACACACTCCACGCACGGGGCACACGGGGCGCTAATGCACTAACTCGCTAACAGAGTGTTGCCACGTTAATGCGGTTATGGAGTTAGCGTCATTTTAATGAGATTAACGCTGACATCACTAGTATTTTCATATTATGAAACTATTAATTTTGTGTTATTCAAATGTTGCATGAAAATGCATAGTAAACCACTGTGTTGGACTACTGCGCAGTGGCTGTACTGCTCACGGTCAGTGTTATATCAAGTGTTCAATATTCCAAGTGAGAATCTATCTATGATCCTGATCTGGTTCTGATCCAAATTCATGGGCTGCTTCCTCCTGAGGCCGCATTTGTAGGCCAATTTCATCACAGCAACGCGCCGAAGGCTGTCCAAATTCGTAGACTCCTCCGAGTGCAGCCGTCCTCCTTTTCCCCGAATTTGAAGGATGGGTCAGATGTGTCCTACGTGGCCCACCATATCCCAGAATTCATAGCGCACCCAGCCAAACTCCAGTTTCCAACAATGGCGGCCGCTACTAAGTTTTAAAATTACTGTTATTAATCTTTCTGGGTCACAAAATAAACTTTTAACATATTTTCAGGCGAAAAATGTAGCTGTGTAAACTTCAAATATCTGCTCGGTTTATCAAGATATCACTTATTTGCAAAAGTGCTTCGACGTTTTTGGAGATGTCTGTTACCCACCAGCTCGACAGCTAGCCGGGAGCTCGAGGGTCACTGAAGCCGCCGAGAACGGCACAACTCCCGGCACAACTCCCGGCACATCATTTTCAGATCACCGCGGACTTTCGCTACTCAGGTTAAACGTAATATATAAGTCACTTAGACAACCTAAATTTTTATTATTTGGCTTTTTTCAGTGTTTTATTTGTTCGTGAGTAAATCGGTTTGGCTGAGATTAAAGTAAGATGAAATAAAACTTTATTAATCCCTTGAGTGGTTTTCACACAGCTGAATAAATGTCAAACAGAAAACTGATTAAACAGAAGTATGAGACAGTCGAGAGTTTACTCCAGTGTCCTGTTATATTTTAGATAGCAAGGAGCAGACGGCCGAGTTTATTAAACTCCACCGAGACAGCGGTGACGCTAATCAGAAAGATAGACCGTCCAATTCCACAGCCGTTTACTTCCAGCCTACCCGACCTTCTGAGGACCCGGGTCCTCAGGAGGATGCAGCCCATGAACAAAACGGCGGGGAAGCAAAACTGAAACACAGGACACAAGAATTTCAAAGTAAAACAGGAAATATAAGACATGGAAACACCAACTAAACAAGGAGACACGGCAGACAGAGAAGACAGGGAGAACATGGAGCACAGAGACAAGAGTAACTAGATGTGGAACACGGGGAAGGCAAAGTAACAGAAAACTAAGGACTATAAACTGAGACTATAACATAAACAGAAAACATTAATGAGAATCAAAACCATTAAATCCAACAAATCCAAGAATATAACTTCCACTAGAGGGCAGTGCAACTACCTCCCCAAATAAATTGGTTGCCAACTGCCAGTAAAACAGAAGAGGACGAAGAAGAAATTACATAATACTCATGCTGTGAGTAAAACAATGCAGCGCCTAATAGCAAAGATAAATATTTAAAAAAATAAAGAAAAAGTAATCTGTCTGACCTGGGTCTTGGAGAAAACCCCAACCCAGATGAAGGCCCTAGCATGAGCTGTGGTCAGAAGAAAGCAAAGAAGGTAAACTGTGGACAAACCAAGCCAGTTCCACAATGCCTGGTGTGTGGGGGAAATTATCAATATGTCTTTTGTGACATTTTGTTTGCTGGTGTGCTGTGTGATTTTTCTAATGTGAAATATGTGATGCCCTAGCTGCACCATGGAGATATCACAGTAAAGAAGACTGAGATGTACTTCTTAAAGGGAAGCTGTTAAAAAATAAAACTCTATGCTATCAGTACACCCAGATAAAACTAACTAAATGCCTAATGCATTGGTAGGTTGTCTACCAGTACATTAGAAGATTTAGGTGCTGTAAATATGTAAAAAATTAAGATACTGTTAGCAGAAAATAACTATAGTCACTGTCTGTTGTTCATATATTCTGTTAATTTAATGCCATCATACCCAATACAATAGAATTAGACAATTAAAGTTTTAGCAGTGTTTTTCCAGTGCAGTTGAAGGTAAAATTGGCTAAATACATTCACTATTTCAGCAGATCTGGGTAACAGTAGCTGTACTCACATATTTTACTGTGAAAATGTATACACATTGGTTAAACCACATACACAACTGTATATGGTGTTTAAATATTGTAAATCAATGATATAGACATATCTATCTATAGTTAATCTGAGAAACTGGAAAAAAAAAACATCTTGTGGACTCAACCTGAAGGTTCAATTTTGATTCTAATTGAGCTGAAGTAAACTGACTGTTGTCACCATGGCAACACAGTCTCCCTGGAGAGTCTCTCTGGAGACCGAATGCAGTAATGACAACTTTTTGAGTATTCTCTCATATTTGACTACAAATGAGTGATTTTTTTTATTCTTAGTCAATTTATCAGATTCAACTGTCCTTATATTTATTTATTATACTTATTATATTTCTCAGCAGCTGACCCAAAGACCATTAGAGACTGAGGAGGCATTCAGGAAAGCTGGCGGGTGTTAGTGTAAATAAAGACGCACAAGCTAAACACTAAGCTAAACACTGTTTTTCTATCGTCTTTTACAGTTTTAGAGTGGGAGATAAACTGGACACTTCAACGTGCTGAACTTAATTTGTATAATGAACATAGTTTGACTGGTTTGTATTTGAGATAACAAACCGCAGTGTGTAATCAGTGTTACACAACAGCTTGTAAAACTGTTTAATATACTTTTCGTTCAGACGTGTGGATGAGCACCATTGGGTAATAGCAACCAGTCATCAACCTCTGGGACTAAAATTAAGCCAAGGCTCAAATCCTTAAACTTACAGTTCCTCATACATCCAGAGGGGGCTCCAGCAGTGAGTCAGTCCCCATAGATTTCCATGTTAAAATTTCACAGCAGAAACAAACATGTTTACAGCCAGACACACAAGCTGGTTTGGTCTCTGTGGATAATATCCCCCTACATAACAACTGCATGGTGGAGGGTTATTTGTCTCACCTGCTGAAATTGTATTAAGGTTTAAAGTTTGCATTGTTAAAGGATTGGGCCATTATTGTAAATGTGACCTCAGGTTTACTTGCTCTGACTTGTAGTCCCCCAGCACCCCCAAAAACCAAACCTTGTCCTTGATGTGCATCAGGTAGTATAATATGGTGTTGATGCAATACTCTGCAACTCTCTTACCTTCACCCTCCCTGCTCTTCCTCCCTCCTGATCCCCTCTTCATCACCTGTCTACCTGATGCAAACAGGTTGTTGAGTTCGTCTAGTGGACTTGTTGGAGTCTGTGACCTCACGGACATGTTCTGCATGGACCCATGTGTGGAGGAGGAGTTACTGAGTTTAGCCCCTCCTTCACCTGCCCTGTGTGAAGATGATGAAGATGAAGATGAAGAGCGAGGCATACTTCCTCCTGCCATCAGGGTGTCATACGGTGGTGGCCTCTTCAGGCTCAGAGGTGTTAGCGAGCGTCCCATGCTGACAGGAGATGGGCATGCTGATTGGCTGCGGGGGTAACCGTGACCACCGTGTGTGGTGCTGGATGACTTGTAAAGGCTGGAGGGGAGAGGTGGAGCTGAGGAGCGACCAGAAGATGTGATGGTATGAGTGGAGGGCATGTCCCGGTCTCGTTCTTTGCGGTAGTGAGTGGAGCTCTGCGGCTGTTCAACACTGCCCGACTTGCTGTAGGAGACGTTTTCTAACATGGGGAGGCGTGTGACGTCCAAAGGGGTGAGGGGGGACTCATCTGAGTTTGGGGAGCACTGAGCGGGGGCAGGTGGGAAGATGAGCAGTGGTGGGCGGTGAGTCAGGAGATTTGGGAAAGGTGGAGGAATGTCACAGAGTGAGCCGCGGGATGACCAAGCTTCAGGGTCAATGATGGCAGCATTTGTGTCCTGCAGAAAGTCTTCCAGCATTGGGTACTTCATCTCCTCGTACACCGATTCATTCTGGTCGTCCTCCTCTGCTTCCTGACCTTTCAGCCCTCGCAGGATGTTTCCCACCATCTCAATGTAAACTGGCTCCTCTTCGTCTGTGTCCCTGGATACTGGACTCTGACTTTGGGATGAAGATTTGTCCCACTGCAAGGAAGACTTCTTGTTGCCATGGTTACGGATGTAGCACTCATCAAAGGAGGTGCTGAGCTGAGTGTTGGGATTCCTTTTGGGTTTAGGTGGAGGCATCTTCTTGGAGGCATCTTCAGAGTGCAGGAAACATTGAGCTGCAGACAGAGAGCGAACAACTGTCACAACACTTCTTCCATACCTTCTGAAAGCTACAAATTCCTTAGAGAACTATTTAAACTTCAAATTCAAGGGCAGTCATTTTTTCAGTCATCTTACTGACAGAAGAACTAGAATTACTTCAGACGGATACAATAAAAATATCTTCTGCTTTTCAATATAGTCTTAGGGATGGGAATTGATAAGAATTTAGCGAATCGGATTCTATTATCGATATTACTTCTTGGTTTTCATTGACTCCATTATGAAAGTCACCACCATCTCTAAGCAGCATATCAAAGACATTACATTCATGCACATGAATGACATGCTGTGCATGTTGGAAGTATTTCTGCTCTTTGTTGCGATCCATGTCGGGGTCATTACTGAAAAAAGTAATTCTTAAAATGAATGCAGTACATAACTTAATTACTCCCAGGAGTAAGTAATTCTTTACAATACTGGTTACATTACTACTACTACTACTCTGGGTGGCTGTAGCTCAGGTGGTAGAGCAGGTCATCTACTGATCGGAAGGTGGTGGTTCGATTCCCGGCTTCCCCTAGTCTGCATGCCAAATATCCTTGGGCAAGATACTAACCCGAAATTGCTCTCCGATGCATTCATCGGAGTATGAATGTGTGTGAATGTCAGTTGTGCTTGTGCGAATGGGTGTGAATGGGTGAATGCACAAGTTGTGTAAAGCGCTTTGAGTGCTCAGAAGAGTGGAAAAGCGCTATATAAGAACCAGTCCATTTACCATTTACTAATAATACATTTCATGTAAAAGCTGTCATGACTGTGTGCAGGCAGGAAGAGAGGACCCAAAATACAGGACTCACGGAGGCAAACGTAACTCAAAATATTCAGCTTTATTGCTGGAAAGCAACTGAACAAAAAACTAACTAAACTGAGAATAAAGAACAAACTAATCAGGCAGGCAGGCTGGCAAACAGAACACACAGTGAAAGTGAGGGTGCGACACAACAACGAGCAGGGCAGGAGGCAGACACTAAATACAAGAGGTAAACAGAGCTAAGAAGAAACAGCTGGGAGAGACGGCTGACGCTGAATAAACTGACGAGACACAGAACTTAACAGACACAGACTCATGAGCACACATAATAACATCATGGACATCAAGGAAAACAGAAAAGTGGGACTAGGGCAGGCACAGAACAGAAACCTAACGAAACCTGGCAAATCTTAATGGAAAACAATCAGAATAAACAAGATCATAATAAAGAAACACAAAACACTGAGTCACCAGACTCAGGACCATAACAAAAGCGCCTTTCAAAACACCCAAGGACACTGTACAGAACAAATAAGACAAGCATAAAAACAGGAAATGAACACAATAATAACACAAAGTTTAAGAGCATGGGGAAGTTATACAGAGTAAGCTATCTTGAATAGGTGGACTTAAAAAGGGGGCAAGAAGTGATGTTTCTGAGGTCAGGGGGCAAGGAATTCTACTATTACTAATACTATTGCATTTCTCAGTAAAATGATCATGATCATGTCTTGATGCATGCTCAATCATCTAGGTAAGTAAATCTCCAAAAGTTGATTCTGTTCATCTGGATGTAGCGTTTTGTTTTAAATCCAAAAACACGCTGTGCCAAAAGTTGGTCCACCCCAAGGATCGGGTCCCCCGACACAAACAGAGTAACATAGTGTACGTCGTTAAGTGCCAGGAGGATTGGCAGGATTTATACATCAGGGAAACCAAACCTCTGGCTAAGAGAATGGCACAACACAGAAGAGCTACCTTAACGGCCAAGACTCTGATTTTTGGAGTCTCATGATCACCATTTAGCAATATTAACCTATAGCTACAGCTACACACCAACAGAGATCTCTAACCTAAAGAGGACACACATATGATCGTTCTCTTAGTATTTAGGTAAGAACACAAAGCTGACAGCACAAAACAAAGATAAAAACCCTTATTGTCTATTATTACTATTATTGTCTTTACCTTACAATATAAAGCACATTGAGGCAACTGTTGTTGGGATTTGGCGCAATATAACTATATTAAAAAACAAAACAAATAACAGGTAAAAACGAAGGCTGCAGCCTGACTGCTCATCCGTTTGTTACCTGATGAAGTTCACTGGCAGCTGGCTTCACCGCAGCCCCAAAATAACGGCTCACTTGGCTGCAGTGTTGTTCTGTCTGTGCAGGTGTTTGCAAAGAGCTGAGATTGTGTTAGCAACACAGTGTAGCTGTTTCTGTCCTGGATGCAGTTTGCACTTTACCATCATGTTCATGTCCTTTAATGCAATAAAAATAAAAGTTCTGTTCATATGCATGCTGTAAACTGCCCTACTCTTTTCCTCCTCCTACAACTGAAATCACCTGATTGTAGCGCAAGTGCAAGAATTGATCGGTGGGATCAAGAGACAAGCAGCTGAACAATTCCAAAGAATTCAACTACTAGGAACTGGTTCTTCTAGAGAACTGGTTCTCGATTCTGATCCCTACAGTGTCTTCATTTAAAGGTCTAAGAAAAGGCTTCACACACTTCTTTAATAATAAAGTCAGGTGAAGTGAAACACATTGAACCTCTCCTTACGAATAATGTCCATCTGAGGCCACGGCAGCATCCTCAACAACGCCACATGGACCAATAGGAGGTCATGAACAATGTTTATAATGAGACCTTGTTGTGGCCATCACCTGAACATCAGTCCTGAACATGCAGATCTAATTTGGTGCCCAGATCTCCACCATGTGAGACATGTGGTTTTAATGACTCACCTTCAGCCTGTTCTAGCTTCTCTTTGGTGTCTTGGTGGTCTCTTCTTGTAACTCCACCCCCATCCACAGTTTCGGAGCTGCTGCTCAATTTGGTGTTGGGATCTCTCTTAGGTTTGGGTGGGGGTTGTTTGCGGCTGCTGCTGGAGTCATCTTCTCCTCCACCCACTGAGTGGAGGGACTGCGATCTGACGGTGAAGCCCTGGTTGGCTGGGGGCAATCGGTCCTGTGGAGCTGGCATCGTCATGAAACCCATCCTGAAGTGTTTCCCAGAGTACGCCCCATCCGAGGCCGCGGCAACATCCTCACCAATCCTGGTTGCACCAAAGGGAGATCATGTTAGTGTGACTGTCCGATAACACAACAGCTTGTAAAACAAATACAAGACACTCATAATGTTTCTGAAGTGGTGATGTGTTAAACTCTTATTTACATTTAAAACACTAAAAAAATGTCCTAAATATCTCTCTCTCTCTCTCAGACCTAATTAAACTTCTTTTATAAAACTTAAAGAAGTCCAGTTGGTTTCAAGTTCCTTAGATTACCATCACCTGGATGACTGAGTACCTACACAGACATCCAGTTTACCAGAAGTATACCGTATCTAAGCCCATATGAGGTCTGTGTGCTTAAGAAAAGATCTGGAGAGTTTTCTATTGCGGTTTAGATGAGTTTACAGGAAACAACATGGTCTCATTTTAAGGTTTGATGCTTTCTACCTCTTGATGCTTTCTTCCTGCCGTCTTTTTTTCTGGTGTTTTTCATGCAGGTAGGTCCAATTGGTCTGGTTGCGAATGCGGTCGCTCTCTCTAGCAATGTCGGAGGCGTTTTGGATCACCAGACCATCGTATATTCGAAGTCCACTGTCCTCCACGTATTGGAAAAACCTCCTGAATGAAGATCCCTCCTCCTGTGATGTCATGACTCCCTAATGACCTGAGAGGAAGAGCAGAGAAAATCAGTTCACAGTGTTTGTTCCTGTTGGCAGTGCAGATCATGTTTGAATGGTGCAGGGCCACCCGTTAGATCAAAGGTCAGTCATCATTCTGAGTGTAAGCCAAAGATTCTTAGTATAACTCATGAATTCCACCTTAAGACTGGTTAGAAGCTGGAAAGCAGCAACGCTGGCTTGTGTAACATCTCCTCACATCTTGTTCAGTTCAACCAGGAAGCCTCAGAGCAGAAGCAAGACAGTTCAGGTGATGTTAGCCTGCCCACAAAAAAACAACACATTTCTGGATTATTGTGACTGATTTCTGTTTTAGTCATCTCTCTTCTGCACAGCTAGGTCTTTGGATTCCCACCTGTGAACGTCCGGACACCGGGGAATGCTGATAATGTAGTCCTCTTTGAGGTGTCGTGCACAAACAATAAAATAAACAGCTGTTTATTCGTAACGAAGAATTGTTTTTTGCTATTTTATTAATGTATACATTTTTCCTTGAACTTATTGCTTGTTGATCTCTGCCTTGACATGCAACAGTATTTGCGATTAGTGATTATATTAGTGACGTTGACCATGTGGGTAGGTTGTGTGGGTAAGCTGCAACACACTGGGATTAATAAAGCTATCTGGATCTGAACAGCAGCAGTATCATTAGCAGTGACTTTTAGCTCTAATCGTTCAGATCAGACATCTTCGTTTTTTATTTTCAAATACAGAGTGAGAGTTCACTGTCGACAAACACGTGTTCTCGTCTCTGCTTCATCAAGTATTCCAGGATACATTTCATTTCAACCAGCCAAGGTTTTATATGATCTTTGAAATGTAATTATTTTGTTCTTCTACTTAAAACCTGTCTGTTTTTAGCAAGTTTGATTTGATATTCACTTTTATTCTTGTGTAATTAGTGCCATTGACCTGTTAGCATATTCAGTACTTTGTTATTGGTCTTATATTTGTCATGATCCTGGGTCATTTTGACCCAGCGTTTTGTGTTTCCTTTTGGCATCACCTTGTGTTTTGTGTTAATTCTGATTTTGTATTAGTTCTTAGGTTTGGTTTTTGTGTTTAGTGCTTCAGTGTTTATCAGCCCTACCTGTGTCTTCCCTCTGTGCTCTGTTCGTGTCCCTGAGTTTGTGTTGTAAAACAGTCTGTGCGTTTCCTGTTTTACTTTGAAGGTTTGTGTCTCGCTGTGTCTAATTAGGTTCAGCTGTGCCCCCCTCCTGTGTGTCATTCCCTCATTACCTTGTGTGTATTTATGGTGTGTCTCTGCCTGTGTTCCTCGTTGCGTCGTCTGCATTACTCTGTGTAACTCAGTGTTAATCAGCGTTAATCAGCGTTTCCCTGCCCTGCTTTCTCCGTGTCATTTCTGTGTGTCTTCCGGTGTCCTTAGGTCCCCAGCTGTAACAATATTATTCATGTTTTAACCTGCTGTTTTATTGTGAAGCACTTTGGTATACCGTTGGTTTTTAAATGAGCTATATAAATAAATTTGTATTGTATTATATGAATTTATTAAAGTAATCATCTGAATATGAGGAACGTGGCTCACTTTTATTCATCTTTATCATGAAGGCTTCATATTTGTTTCTCTGACTTTTAAATAAAGTACTGCTTTGAATTCATCTCGCCATATTGATCCCCTCCCCCACCTCTCTGTTTCTCAGCATCCATCTAAAAATGGAACAGGGAGTCAGCTGGCAGTAACCTAGCAACAGCAGCATCTCTCACAGGAGAATGATGTAATGCATCCTGTAAGCGGGTGAGAGAGGAGACACGAGGAGAGGATGAGGGGAAAGATTCGGATTTGCTACTCAGGGTCTCCCCTTTAGGATCTGTCAAGGTGGAGCTGCTTCACACTCTGAGTTGTAGCAGCCTCCTGAGAGGTTTACTGACTACTCAGTCCTTTACACCACCACCCACATTAACACATACAGCTTCATTACAGATTCTGACCCACCACACACTCCTTCTGGCTCACAGGTTAACGTAACCAGCATGTGTTTGTTGGAGGAAACAGGAATACCATACTCCTCACAGCAGGAAGCTCAAAACAGGAACTGTTCTGCTGTCAGATGGTAGTGAAGTCATGTTACCTACAGTACAACAGGCACTGTTCAGCACTGAGTGTTTTTAGTTGATAACGGTGCTGCTCCACCTATTTATTTCTGTGGGAACACCACCCTGAAGGTTGAGTTTATTCCAGTTTTTTATTTTATAGCCTCTATCCACTAATTCTGTCTAAAGCACCCATCCATCCATCCATCTGTCCATCCATTAACATATATGTATCCATCCTTCCACGCATTATCCTTAACTCCTTAGCCTACTTTGGAACATGTGGGGTGGTGCCTATTCCAGTATAGGTGGGATACACCTGGACAGGTCAGTAGTCCATCACAGGTGAAACATAGTGATGTATCCACAGCAAGAATAACTGCTTAATGAGCAACTCTCTGATAGTGGGAGAAAACAGGGGTAAGAATATGATAAGTATGTCTTTGGCTGTATCTCTTTGACTTAGGCATGAACCTTCCCACACACACACACACACACACACACACACACACACACACACACACACACACACACACACACACACACACACACGGTTTACACAGAATCACTTCCAATCTGAACTTTGACCTTGTCTTCTTAGGTGTGTTCACCTTTGTTTTTAACACTGTTTACTCATGACTGACAGACGTCCCCTTCAAAATAAAAGCAAATCAAATGAAGTTTTCCCTTACTCTAACCCCAACATGGCAGCCATATTGAAGTAAAATGCTGCCGTTTCAGGTTTCACAGAAAGGCGAAAAGGATGTGAAGAAACTGGATATTTTGAACACTGTCAGTGGGAACAGCAGCAGCTCGGAGACAAGCAGAAACACAGAAGAGATGAAGGAAGATGACACTGAAGCTGAATGAGGAGCCTTACCTGATGACCAGCAAGGACTCAGACTCCCTCTTCCTCCTACTCTCCCTCCTTCCCTGATTCGATCCTATTTCCTTCCCTGCTTCCTATTATTTTTTCCTTGTTTCAGTCCTCCTTTCTTTCCCCCTTTTGGTCCTCGACTCCTTCCTTCCCTCCTTCAGTCCTCTCTCTGCAGGAACAAAGATGGAGTGATGAGGCTTCTGTTGTCCTCTCAGATCTCTGCAGCTCAGAGGAAATGACAGATTTTTTTGTCTGCATCGACGTTAATCCAGATCCACCCTTCAATGCCACTTTCCTCCCCCGTCCTTCCTTTCCTTCCTCTTCGCCTTTCTTCATTCATATATCCTTACAGTTGCAATAACCACCACTCAAATGCACACACACACACACACACACACAGTCACACTCACACACCCTTCACCCTCACACACACACATCCCTGACGATGGTCGCCACAAGAAACGAGAGGCTGAAACCACGGCAACCTGACAGCATCCTTACTCTGCTGGCTCCTCCCCCTATTGCTGAAGGGTGGGTGGGGGTGGGGGGTAAGGAGGGTGAAGAAGAATGATGAGAGAGAGAGCAGCGTGTTTTTAATGTGTAAATGTGTGTGTTTGTGTGTGTGTGTGAGAGAGAGATAGATGATACCACACAATACTTTATCACAATTGTGTGATGTCACAGCTCCCACATTTACTGACACCTTTCACTGGGAGCAGGAAGTGTCCACAAAATAGTATAAAACACAAAATAAAAGCCCATAACAGGAGATACTAAACAAACAAACAAAAACCAGAAAGGACGTAAAAGTCTGGATCAGGTAGGCAGCACTTAAGGCTCTGCTCCATTTTTCAGACTGCTTTGTTCTACATGAACCCCTCCATCATCACCCAAAGGTCCAAAACAAATAAAACTTGTGTCTTTATATATCATGTACCACCTTCTCACTACTAGAACCAGAACCTCTTCATTCAGTGTTCAGTGTCTCCACATCTGAAACATGACTTTAAGTGTGCAAACATCATCTCAGAGAGAGTCAGGTGCAAGGAAATCAGGAGCCACTGTGTTTGTCGCTGTCACATTCATGAAATATTACAACAGGACAGAAAAAAGCACTGAACAAAAGAGACAGAATAGATCCTCTTGCATTTCCTGGCTCCTTATTTCCTTCTTATTCCTCTTTTTCAGGTGGCTTCCTCCTTCTTTCTGTGTGTCACAACAGCATGACATCATCCTGCTTTTGCCCAATTACTTGCCACTGCAATTGTCACATGATTATATAATGTTGGTTTGACATGAATTTATTTCTGAGCAGCTTATTTTTTTCTTTCAGGGCTTATTTTTATTGTTTTATACAAAAATTACAGTGAAAGGGCTTATCAGGCATATTTTTTATTGACAAAAACACTGAATATCCTCGTCCTTCAGAGACTGACTGGTGACTTAACATTATATTAACCCATATCACATGATAGTAGGGTTATGGTTAGATTGGCGATAACTTTTGGGGATGTAAGAGTTAACTGATTAGAATTAATTGTAATTAACCCCCCCACACACACACAACAGCTGGGACAGACTTTAGGATGGATGGATGATGGTCTCAGCCTATTCTCACAACACAGTGCATCTTCATCATCATCATCATCGTCTTTATCACTGGAGACCCTCAGCCCTCACACATGCTCTGTGCTGCGCATGCGTTTCGTTCTGCAGCAGTCCCTATGTGCTTGTGTGTGTGTGTGTGTGTGTGTGTGTGTGATTGCGCGTGCGCGTACAGGGCTCCTCACGTAGATCTGACGGATCGGTTTATCCCAGCTGTTAGTGTTTAGCCTTGATTAGCCCAGATCAGTTTAGTCCGGCATCGGTATGTCGTCCAGTCCGCAGGTCCAGACCCAGGAACCAAACCAGGATCAGACCCAGGAACCGAACCAAGATCAGAACCAGGATAATACGAAGGAGGAGGTGAAGGCGGAGGAGAAAGAAGAGAAAAAGGAGGAGAAACAGGAAAAGAAGGACGACAAGAAAGAAGCGAATGAAGCGAAAATGGAGAAGAAGAAGGAGGAGAAGCAGGATTCCTGGAAGGATTTCATCTACAACCCGCGGACCGGGGAGTTTCTGGGCCGAACCGCTGGCAGCTGGGGTAAGAGAGGCGGCCAAAGAACCTGGTCTTTTCCTGACAGTGGAAGTCTGTTCTGACCCGGTCTGACCCTACTCGGCTCGGTCGGGCACGGCTGTAATCCCGCTGAGCTAAGGGTGCCTGTCACGATGCGCGCAGCTTCACAGTGGGCCGAGCCGGATCGGGCCGAGCCGAGCCGGGCTAATATGTGAGCTCGGATGAGTGATTTTCATTAACACAGCTGAAGATGTCAGAATAAAGCAGATTCACCCTCTGCGCCTTCAGGCGCGCCGAGTTCATGTTTAATTATGTAAAATCCTCTGCAGCTCTGTGACGGTACTACAACATACTGCAGTATTTATGCTGCTGTACACCACAGCCTGCACACACTGTGTACTAATGCACACATTTAACACTAACAACATTTAATAACCATCGTGTTCATATTGATTTTAATCGTTGATGAGATTTAATGAGTTTGAGTGAAGCTCAGAGGGAAGACTGCTTATAAGATTTCTACAGTCATGACTGAGGTAAAATCGTTACTTATCATTTATTTACAAAAGACTAAGAGGCAGATTTAGGATCATCATCCTAACCCAGCAAAGATTTTAATAAAAGAGTTTGTCCGTTCCGTCATGACTACGAAAAACAAAACTGTTTTAAAAGCTTTCAGTCTTAACATGAAAATAGGATCAACACACTGAGGATTTATTAATAAACTTCCAGTTTAAAAAGTTCAGTAATGCTGATGACATCGCAACCGTGACTGAATTAATGTCTCTGGGGTTACAGCCAACGGTATCAACGACACAACTCATCAGAACTGTTCTCCTCACTTCCACCTTCATGTCCTAATTTTTGGGCTTTCTAGAGCAGCTCAGCATGACTCTGTTCCAAATAATCCTCCTTCATCTGAGCCTGGGCCTTGGTCCTAAGTTCATCTTGTTTGAAGGAAGCCATTTTGGCTCCTTAGTTTTAGGTCCCTGTGGAGCAGGAGTTATCTGACAGGAAGTGAGAAAAACTGGTTGATTTTTAAATGATTTAGGCTACGTCTACACTAGCCCAGATAAATTAGTTTGAAAACGTTCCGCGTCCACACTATCGTTTTCATCCATTTTCACAGAGGTGTGCGTCCACATCGAAACGGCCAAAAACGCTTACATTCCAGTTCTGCGCATGCGTGAAAAATAAGAAGATTCAACCTGCCTCATTTCTTTTCTTTTTTTTTTCTTTTTTTAAATTTTTTTTATAAACTTTCAGGTGTTCTGGGAATCCATCCTACCTGAAAAAACATCCTACCCAATGTTTCTGCACAGACGCAGCGCATGCGCACAACACCGACACCGAATTAGCTTCTTTTTCTCTCACCCATCTGGAATACTTCTTAAGGTTATGGTTATGGTTAGGGGTAGGGTTAGGTTTAGTTGCAAGTCACTGTCAAAATTATAATGCAGGTAGGACGTTTTGTCAGAGTAGGATGGTTTCTCAGAACACTGGCTCTTTGAAACGTTGCAGCAAAACGTCGAGGAAAAGCAGAGGTTTTTTTTTTTAAAGGACTAACAATGAGGTGGAGTTGTTGCTGTGAGTAACACAAAAGTACAAAGTTGAAAAAGCGAGTGAGAATTAAAGAATTTGAAGAAAAGCTCTCTGGAGCATGTGCAGACTGATATTAATCTTTAATAGGGCTGTCAAAATTGAGAACAGACAAAACAACTGCTGTAAATTGCCCTCTGCTATTTTAGTTTAATTGGTCACATGGCTGCATCACATGACTAAAATGTGTCATTGTTTTCAAAAAGGCTCCGGGTTTGCTGTCCACACTGCAACGCAAAAATGGGATTTTCAAATGTATCTGCTTTGGAGAGCGTTTTCAAAATGCTGTTTTCCTTGACCAAAAACGCCATCTCAGTGTGGACAGAGAGAAAAAGATGCATTTTCAAACAAAAACGTATTAGTGTGGACATGGCCTTAGTCTGTTCAGCATCAGTGCGAAGTGATGCTGGATGTTTAGGCAGAAGTCTGAGCTGATAATGATACAAAGCTGATAAAACACAGCCTGACAGGAAAAAAATGAACACACAGATAACAGACTGAACTTAACAATACATGCTGCTTTAATTACCTTAAACCCTCTCTAATGCATACAAAAGTACTACTTTGTAACTCATTTTTTTTGGCTTACACATTCACCAAACAATATCTTGGTTTAATCCTGGAAAAGGGATCCTTTAGAGTTTGTGTCAGGAAAGACATCTGATGAAAAGTATTTGCCAAATCAGGTATTCTCGTGAATACAGGAGCTGGGCGTAGCTTTTATTTAGAAAAGGTTTTTCTTTTTTTCCCATGTACATACTAATTTAACTCTTTACAAACACCAGTATGGTTTCTGTAACCCCCCCCTCTACCAACCAAATTAAACAAACAAAACACCCCCTCTTCATTCCTTCACCATATCAAATTTAACTGAATAATAAGAATTTTAATTGACCAGTCAGCAGTTCCTGTTTACTGGAAAAGCTCCAGAATATGATCACATTTCAGATTCCTCAGTAGTCTGTTCTAGGGCCATTAAAGTTCTTCGTGTATAAAAAAACATGGCACTCCAATCAGTTACTTGCCAGAGGTTTCTTCCTGTTAAAGGAGTTTTTCCTTCCCACTGTCACCAAAGTGTTTGCTCATAGAGGGTCATATGACTGTTGGGTTTTTCTGTATCTATTACTACCTTACAGTATAAGGTGCCTTGAGGTGACTGTTGTGATTAGGCGCTGTATTAATAAAATTTGAGTTAAAATGAAGCCTAGAAGACAGCTAACAGTTATGTCTGTGAAGGTTCTCAGTCATCCAGGTCATCGTAGTCAAAGGAGCTTGCAAAGAAGCTTCTTCAGTTCTGAACTGAAGAAGCTTCTCGGATGAGAGGTGAAACGTCTTCAAGCAACTTAAAGAAGTCCAGACGCTTTTCTTTGCAAGCTCCTTTTAGCTAACAGTTATATCCCCCTGCCACACCCCTAATAATCAGGCTATAAGACTTATAGCTGCTACACCTGAAGTCTGATTGCTAGTTTGATGCTTTGTGCTTGTCCAGCTCTTTCAGATTACACAAAGGCATGTTTGTTTTTTGTTTTGGTTTTTTTTAAATGAAAAAGCTGTGTTTCTTTATTGCTGCATTGCACCTGTGGCATTAGGTTCTTTCAGTAAAGAGTTTGCATGTTTTCCCTGTGTGTGACTCCCACCAGGGGCAGGGATAGCTCAGTAGGTAGAGTGGTGGCCCCATGATCGGAAGGTCGGGGGTTCGACTCCACTGAACGGCTACCCTGAGGTACCCCTGAGCAAGGTACCGTCCCTACACACTGCTCCCCGGGCGCTGCACTGGCGGCTGCCCACTGCTTCACTGGGTGAATGGGTTAAATGCAGAGGAACTATTTCCCTATGGGGACTAACACGCACACTTTACACTTTACACCACCCTCTGGAACACAAACTTGGAGTAATCAGGACTCTACAACAACTCCGGGCAGAAAATGTTCCCTCTAAGCCTGAAGGGAAAAAGAGGGAATCCACACATGTAAATTAAGCTCCTAAAACATGCGGTTATCATAATTGAGCTTTTATCAAGTCAGCAAATATGCAGAGGAGAGAAGGTCAGACACCAGTTAGGGAGGATAAGAAAGACAAACAGAACAACATTGTCATCCTTCATGTATCAGGTTTATCAGATAAACTCAGGAGTATCTTGTCTGTGAAGGTTCTCAGTCATCCATGTCATCGTAGTCTAAGGAGCTTGGAAAGAAAAGCGTCTGGACTTCTTTAAGTTACTTGAAGACGTTTCACCTCTCATCCAAGAAGCTTCTTCAGTTCTCTGCGCCAGGAGTGTCTTCCCAGAGTACTTCTAGCCCAGCCACACACTCAGACACAAACTAAACAATGTAGTGTAGCTGTGCAGTGCAGCGAGGAGAGCTCAGACCTCTCTACTGGAGACACTAAACAGCCACCTCGACAGGACTCAGCTGTACATCTGCATCTGAAGGTCAAAGGTCACTCTTTGAAGATGCCAAATCTCACATGTTGGACAGGGAAGACAGACGGTTTGAACGAGGAGTGAAAGAAGCAGCTATGACCGTCTTTGAATGGAGGGCAGGGCTTACGACACCAACTGTCTCCCATCTACAATGTGTATGTGCATAAACCATGTGTATGAATGTTTCATAAATTAGTGATTCATCAATATTTCCACACCTGAATACATACATGCTTACCAGATTTAGTAGAGCACCGTGGAGTATCGGGCTTATGCCACAGCTACCCTAAAGTGAAAATACTGATCATTATCGAGATTTTTGTTTCTGTAATTGTTAATCCACCAGGAGGTACAAGCTCTTTAATCAAGCTGATAATTTTATTGCTAAAATATATTTTGTCATTTTGTTGTTATCCATGTTTTAAGATGCCAAATTAAAGTTATGTGTTTTCCTGAACAGAAGTAATAGTTTAAGTGGGCGATAGATCATAAAATCAAGCACAACTGTTCAGTTTCTTCAGTCTGACTCCCTTCTGCTTTCCTGCCCTAGAGGTGCAAGCACATTTAACTTTACTTACAAGTGAATCAGAGAAAGTGGTGCTGATAAAGGTGTAGAAATGGCTCTGTAAGCAGTTTTATGCAGCTGGTATAGACTTCTTTGGTTCACAATAACTCAGATGTACTAATATAGTACAGTAGTATGAACAAAATGTGCTTGAACTAGTTTTTTTGTTAAGAATGTTTCCATGCCACATCCCTCCCCCGACCTCGGCCAGTCCGAAAACCTCTCCCTCCTGCTCTCCCCAGCCTACACCCCCCTCAGATGCAGTACCAAGCCCACCACAAAGACAGTTACAACCTGGCCTGAAAATGATCTCTCCAAACTGCAGGACTGCTCCACACAGACAGACTGGGACATATTTCAATATCAGAACCTAGAAACTTTCACAGAATCAGTACTGGGGCGACCGTGGCTCAGGGGGTTGGGAAGCGTATCTGTAACCGGAAGGTTGCCGGTTCAGCTCCCGGGCTCTCTGTCCTTGTCGTTGTGTCCTTGGGCAAGACACTTTACCTACCGCCTACTGGTGTTGGCCAGAGGGGCCGATGGCGCGATATGGCAGCCTCGCTTCTGTCAGTCTGCCCCAGGGCAGCTGTGGCTACAACCGTAGCTGCCTCCACCAGTGTGTGAATGTGAGAGTGAATGAATAGTGGTATTGTAAAGCGCTTTGGGTGCCTTGAAAAGCGCTATATAAATCCAATCCATTATTATTATTATTATTATTATTATTATTATTACTGGACTACATCAAGTTCTGTATTGGAAATGTGACTGTGGACAAAAGCATTCGGGTTTTCCCAAAACAAAAACGGGCCAGGTTCGATCACTCCTTGAGCCGATCTGAAAAGAGGAATTAAAGACCATAAAAGAAGCATCGAGTCCCAGCTGTCGAGCAACAACACACAGGAGGTGTGGTAGGGCATACAAGACGACATAAACCACAAAGGCAGCACTGTGAAAACAGTGCACTGAATGTACAGCTGCCAGAGGAAATAAACCGCTTCTTCACCAGCTTTGAAACGCCACAACAGCAGTACTCATCTGCTTCAGCCCTGCTCTCATCCTCACCTGGTTCCTGCACCGCTCCACTCACTGTAGCGGAGCACGATGTCAGACATGTGCTCCTAGCAGTGAACCCCAGGAAGGCCAGATGGAGTCCAGATGGAGTACCTGGCAAGGTGCTAAGAGCATGTGCCCACCAGCTCACCCTCATCTTCACCAGAATCTTCAACCTCTCACTGGATCAGGCAGCCATCCCATCCTGTCTAAAATCAGAAACAAACATCCCAGTGTCGAAGAAGTCTCCCATCACCAGCCTGAACGATTACCGCCCTGTGGCCCTCACACCGGTAATCATGAAATGCTTTGAGAAACTAGTCCTTCAGCACATCAAGGACTACCTTCCCCTAGAATTCGACCCCCACCAGTTTGCATACCGTGCAAATAGATCCACAGAAGATGCCATCGCCCTCCACTCTGTGCTGAGTCCCCTAGAACATGCATGTCCCAGTAAAACAATCATCCCAGACGTCCTCATCATCAAACTGGTCACTCTTGGCCTCCCGCCTCTCACATGCGCCTGGATAAAGGACTTTCTCACAAACTGGCCCCAGACTGTAAGACTCCGCCCTCATCTCTCCTCCACTCGCACACTGATCACCGGCTCCCCACAAGGCTGTGTGCTGAGCCCCCTCCTGTATTCTCTCTACATCCACGACTGCAGTTCAACCCAAAACAACAATCTCATCATCAAGTCTGCTGATGACACTACGGTAGGCTGCCTCATCTCAAAGGGAGACGAGGCAGCCTACAGAGAGGAAGTCCTGAAGTTGGCAGCCTGGTGTTCAGAGAACAGCCTGGCACTGAACACTAAGAAAACCAAAGAGGTCATTGTCGGCTTCATGAGGCACAGCACTGACTTAGCCTCTCTTTACATCAACGGGGAGCGTGTGGAGAGAGTCCACACCTTCCAGTTCCTTGGTGTCCTCATCTCTGCTGACATCTCCTGGAGAGACAACATCTCAGCGGGCGCCTGATGTTCTACTGCTCATCCATTGAGAGCCTGCTAACTAACTGCATCACGGTATGGTAGGGCAGCTGCACTAAGGCGGGTAGAGTGAGGCTTCAGAATGTAGTTAAGGCAGCACAGAAGCTCATCAGCTGCCCTCTCCCCTCCCTGATGGACATTTTTTCCTCCTGCTGCCTCAGCGGAGCAGCAAACATCATCAAGGACAGCTCCCACCCTGGTTTCAACATGTTCAGCCTGCTTCCCTCAGGGAGGCGCTACAGGTGCATCAGCACAAAGGCCCACAGACTCAAGAACAGTTTCTTTTCAAAGGCCATAACCACCCTGAGCTAACACATGCACCGATAGCACAGCCCCACCCCCACATTTTTCCAGTTCCCTCCATAAATCACCATTGTGTAATACTAAATTCTATGTGCAATCACCGGTAACTGTATATACAAAACCCAGTTTATTTATTTATTTACTTTTTCTTTTCTGTCTTTTACACCTGATTGTAAATTTGTACATTTTATATATATATAAATAAAATGTACAAATTTACAATGTCCATATGTATATATAGAGCAGCAGAACTGCCCCCCCATTTGCACTGAGTATGAGATGATCTGTATCTCACTGTACAATCGTACAGTGACAATAAAGGCATTCTTTTCTATAATCACTCTTTAACTGTGGGTACTGGTTTCCATAGTATTTTTGATAGTCAACAATGGCTATTCTCTTGCTGTCTATTTAACCACAACAGTGAAACAAAGTAACATTTGAATGTTCTCTGTAGGTCTCATCCTCCTCTTCTACCTCATCTTTTATGGTTTCCTGGGGGGAATGTTTTCTCTCACCATGTGGGTGATGTTGCAGACGCTTGACGAAAATGTGCCCCGACATCAGGATCGAGTGGCCAGTCCAGGTGCTTTCATTTCCTGTTTCACCCTACTGCCACTCATCCTTACTTATGGTCATTTTTTAAAATTTCAGTAATGACTTTGATTTTGTTGCAGGTTTGGTGATTCGTCCTCATGCAGTTGAAATTACTTTCAACCGCAGTGACCCAGAAAACTACAAACATTACATGCAACAGTTGCACAACCTCCTGCAAAGTGAGTACAACATGTAAACCGCCACACAGAGTCTCCAAACTCATTTCCGGGATTTCTGGAATTGTCAAAACTTGATCTAATCTTCATTGTTATCTTTTTACAAAAAAACAGCTAAACATGAGAGGTTTTTGAACAAAGTTTGTGTTCTTCATTCTTTAAGCACCGGTTCGAGCACCGTTTAAGCACCGGCACCATTTCAAAAGTACTGTTGTTAACTTCACCTTTCAATAAAAGTTTGCCTCATCACTGAACAAAATCTTCTGCGTGAACTGAGGGTCCTGTTCCAATTTTTGTTTTGCCCATTCTGCAAATT